AAAGTCTGTATAGAGGCCTGGGTAGGCAGAAGGACATTCACTAGACCAAAGCAGGCATATAGTCCCTATGCCTACTGTAGTCCACAATAGCAAGAATTTATTAAAGAATGTTCTTCAGGTAAAATTTGCCTGCATAAAGACTTACATAGAAGAGCTGCCTGCTTCAAGACATCAATTTATTTTTTAGATAAATTATTAAAATAATGCTGAGGACTTAGTGATAAGCCTCCAGATGCTGTGATGTTCAGAAGGAAAGCTGCCTAAAATCTTTAGTTTGCGCCTTACGACTGCAGCCATCCTGAGAAATCACTACTGGATCCCAAAGCAGCAGCCTCCACAATATCTAACAAGCCAAATCCTCACAGGAGATAAAATAAGGAAGAGCCTTGTTTCTGCTAATAAATCAGATCTGCCATATAACATGCTAATATTCTTGGTACTTCCACCCTTTGAGATGCTCTGTAAGGGCTTCTGAACTAAATGCTGAGCCATACGCTAACATGCCACATCATTCTGCCCCTCTGGCCATTCTAACCAAATCTCTGTAAGCTTCTCTGACCCACTCCTGGCTTTCCTGATAGCTCTACATATAATCCTTCTCTGATCCCCATTCAGTTCTTCTAATACTGTGACTTCTGCTCTATCCCTCATGCAGTTCTAATATTTGCTCTAATAGTTGGGTCCCACTCTCCACTTCACTTTCACTTCTTCCTCCATATACTTAGGATCCAAATACCCCTTCCAATGCTCCTGATTTCCTGCTCTTCTGACCTTGTATCAACCAGTACAAAATTGGTCTCATCCTGCCTGATCACATATTTTTCTCTGAACTCTATCATATACAGCTACAATCCTTTCTTTTACTTCTCCTTGGTATTTTTATCCTTTCTACCTCCATTTGTCCTGTTTTGGTCCACTTTCAGCTTCCCCAGAGCCTCTACATTCCTCTCTGAGCACTTTTTTTTTGCTACACTTGATCCCTTCTCCACCCTTCCTGCGTGGCTTCAATTACCCCTCACCATTTCTTTCTCCCTCAAAATCCTCTGAATCTCAGCTCTGTAACATGTAATATATTCAATATGTGTACTGTAAAATCAGTGGGAACTTAACAGCAAAGAAATAGCTGACCACTTCTGCTGTAGAACATGCTGTGAAAAAGAAAGAAAACAATATTTACTACCCATTCTCAACATTTACTTCTCAAACTTAATTATCTGTTTTAAAGGTGTTTTTCCCACATTGTTAAGATATGGGCTCATCGTTCTAGTTTTAAATAGATATTTCTAAATCTCGGACCATGTAAACCTCTATTTTGCACAAATTACATCCTATTCTCATCATGCTTCAACCCCTTTCCTCCAGCAGGTCCATGGCACTAGCACTGGATATGCACAAGGAGGACTAATGCAAGTTCAGTCAGCCGCTGTGACTGAAGAGCCGCCTGTCCGGCAGCACGGTACCTGCGAGCCCTGTCCCTGCAGTGCCCTGTGCAGGTGGCACAGAGGTGCAGCTGCTGCTCGTGATGCCAGTCGGCACTTCAGCTGAACATCGATTCACTCAGGGACTGGAAGTGAGAATATTCCTGCATTTCCCGGTGGGACACAACAAGGGGGTCCCCACTGAACACAGTCACAGTATTGCAGGCCTTGTACAGACACACGTGCCCAACAAACCACAAACACAGTTTAAGCTCTCGCCCTGAGGCGAAGGTGTGCTCATACACAGGTATTTCATGTCAATAAAGGGAAATTTCCAAACAGCTGATGATTCAAGTACATGTTGAGTTAAGATTTCTCTTCATTTAAGACCATACTGCATCAGCAAAAATTCAGTAAGGAACATTAATTATCAAATGTGCCAGTTTTGTGACTATTAAGTACCTCGTTAGATTCAGTTTTGGAAAATGCATTCATGAGCACTTTTATACAGGACAGGATGGCACGTTTGGCATTGTTTAACCCTTCAACATGACCTAAAAGATTATGTTTCAAATCTATTAAATTTTTCGGGGATCATTTTAATTTTTGTTTTGAGAGTTTTCTCAATGCATTTTTAGCTGTTCTTGAAGAACAGGCAAGCTAAAGACATTTAAAAATGGCATTCTTTTATTTGGTTGAAATAAAATTTGTCCTTAGAGCTGCTACATGATTTTCATTCATACCTACAGCATTAAAAGGTGGTTAAAAATAAAAACATTGTCTACATATTGTGCATAAACATATATTTATAAACACTCTTTGCTGACAAGAACATAATTCTTTCCTTGTGTTTATATTAGCGCATACAGAGTCAAATTTTTCAGCTATAATATATTTCCTTTAATCTGTCAGAAAGAAAACCTCATAGTTCAACAAAGGTAAAAAAAAAAAGAAAAAAAAGAAAAAAATAAATTAAAACCATATTTAAAATGTATCATCTAGCCTAACCTTTACTCCATTAGGGAAAATATGCCTGCAAAAAAGATTAAATACAAATTTGCTTTGCTTTTAAACCTACTTAAGAAGCACCTATCCTATCTGTTCATATAAATTCCAATGGAAAACACGATGACATGCAATTACTAATCTCAATGTACACAGCTATGCCTCAGGGACTTAGTGGTTCATATTTTACTGTTCTGTAATCAAATACAGAACTAATGAGTAAAAATATGCTTCCCCCAATAAATTCCCAGCACCTGGACAAGTGTCTGACAGCGAAATGGAGGATGCTCACACAAAATTCATTCTGCAAAGCTATTAAAGTGTTATACTTGCCAACAAGTGTTCATTAAACAAGAATGAAGGATCTTTACGCCAGTTTCCTACCAAAGGCTTTTTAATATTTTAATGGAGAGTAAAGACTATTTATCTGAACTCTGATCAGTTAATGTTCAAATCTGTTATGAAAAAACAAGGAGTCCTTTATAATACCTTTCATAAAAACCCACTCTGCAATGCTTCAAATAAAGACTAAGGACTGTAAAAGATTACGTTGCATATAAACAAAATCAGTATCATTTGGAAATTATATGGTTATCCGTGGAGCTCCTTGGCATATTAGAATCATGTTGTATTTTTATTTAAAGGGTGGTTAGCAGCATCCATGATACAAATGAAAAATACGATTAGATATGACATCACTTGTGCAAGAGCATCTTCAGACTGCAGGAGAAAGAAAACCAAATTTAATGGGACAGATGAAAGAAGTGGGAGACTAAGAGATTATGCAAAGCTAGGCCATATACCTGTTGGGGAAACAAAAGCACTCCAAGAAACATGCAAGAAAGAATGTCTGACATTCTGTTTATCAAAAGAATTGAAGTTTGAATCCAAATCAAACCTACATTTAATTAAACTTGCTAAAACAGGATAGATTAAAAGTGTCCCTTAGAAATAAAAATATGGATCAATGCAAGACTTCACCAACACTTCCTTTTGAAAGAAGACTGATGACTTCAGATTTGTCAGAATACAAAGAAAGACCTGATGTATCTCCCAGGTTTGAGAGTGAATAAAAAGCACCATCCCTTTTTTTTAACTGCAGGCTTTTACCCAAGAGCAGAAGAAAGAGAGGCCAAGTCCTCTTTTACAAAATTCACTCAGATGGGAAATGGGAGGCTCCCAGTTATTGGTGCTTTTCTTCTAGGCTCGTCCAAATTCTGGATTCTTGTGGCAGTGTATCAAGCACTAGGATATGAAAGGATATTTTGGTCATGGTTTTGCTCTTGTCTTCCAGCAGCCAGCATAAAAGAGAAAATAGTGTAAAAGGTGAAATACAAAAAGCACAAGGAATCATAGCTTGATGTCTTGGCCATTAATTTTTCCCAGGGTGTTGATGCATTTTAATCTAGAGACCTTGGCTAAAAGCAGAAGTAGCACAGAGAACAGGAATGGGAATCTGCTCCCAGGACCAGCTTCCCACACATTTTCCTTGAGCTGGCAGCTTCTAAACCCATATGTTTCAAAATCTGATTTATAGCCATTCTTTTTGGAATCTAGTGAATTTGGTGGTATTTAACAGCAAATGCTTTGAGTTGCTCTCAGATATCTGCAGTATTTTGGAAGAGAGCTTCCTTTTTCATCCTTGATTCCTGTCTCCTCCCCTCTCCTCACTAAGCCTGACACAGCTTCTGAAATTGATGGGAAAAATGACAGGAGAACCAACAGGGCTTGGATCTGCTGTTGCACAGCTTCTAATTGTCCTCCGCAGTCCACTTTCAAGGTAGCATCACCTATGTGGCTATTTGACAAAAATGCGGACATCCAACAAAAAAGAGAAAGCTTTCTTCATATTAAAAGGAAATAATGTGTAGCAGGGTGGAACGCAAAAGAGGTGAACAGTTTAAAAGCCATGAAGGTAGCAACGTGCAAATACACATTTAAATTGCAAAGCCAAACAATTATGTGGCAAGTGCCCAGTCATGTGCACAGGTTTCAGTTATACAGGCACATATGCATACTTTTAAAGAATAATAATTCTTTTATTTTTTTAATTTAAGCCTCTGCTTCTGAATGTTTCTGAATTCCTTTTAGGGGAAAACCCAGATTTCTTAGACTAAGCAGGTATATGGTAGACTCAATCTACAGTGATGCATATATTCATAAAGAAAAGTACTGTATTGTGGAAAGAAGTATTTTTAAGGTGCAAAAAAGTTAGGGTTTAATAGGGTGTGAAGTTGTCAGAGAAGGATTTGTGAGGTTGGGATTTAGTTTAATGCTTATTAATTAGAGCAGAATTGGCAGCCACAGACTTGAGGAGTGAAATACCTCTGCCAATGGAATACATTAACTGGCACATAAACAGAGAAGTAGGCACTATCCTCTGGTGTTGGTTTAGCCACCTCTTCCTTCTGTACAACATGAGCTTGTGCAATGCGTAAGTCCATGATCTTTCCAACATGAAAACCAATGAACACACCCAGTGCTATCTCACAAAGCTCAGACTTACTCCTAACCTCATATTCAGACAAGCCTCCTGACATATTACTGGAAGATGAGAAAATATTTACCGCAGCATGCAACCCAGCTCCGATGAAAGTTTACCACTGATTGAACTGGTGAAAGGACCAAGATCCACAGCTCAAACAGGTAACACCTTCTTCATTAATCGCTGCTCTCAACAGTAGGTCTGTTTGATATTTAGATGATGTTTAAATTATACCTATTGATATAAAAGTAAAATAATAATAAAAAAATAAATCTGAGATGGTCTTTCTCCACCACTTTTTCTAGTTCAAGAGTTCCTTTATGGAGAAGATCGATTATCAATAAGAACAATTTCAAGTAGATTTTTAGCCCAGTTATCACCTCCTGTGATTACTACATTAATGAACATGTGGTTAGGCTCATTCCCATGTCAACCTTGGAATACTGATGTAACAGTCTAACAGCTCCACCAATGACCAGCAGTCACATGAATGCCCCAGTGCCCATGCCAATGCTTTTGTGGAACAAGGCTCTGTAAACCTTATGTTATTGCATTCATCAACTCCAAGTAGAACATTTTAATTAAACTACATTGGTGAAGTACCATGCACGATGAGGGAGGTTTATAAGTCATACATAATGACAATCAAATAATGCATGAGGGAAACTTTGACACATTGCACTTAGATTTAAACAGGTGAGACACAGTCCACTAAATTCTCTGCATGGGTTTAAACTACCTTGACAGCAGTTATTCCTCAGCTGTTCTTCCACTAGTCAGAACTCACATCCTGATTTTGTTGCTGAATTCTCCATATTTCAGTGTCCCACCTTACTCTTGCTGGATTGAGCAGCTGATGGGGTTACTGTACAATAATAGCTACCACAAAGCTTAAGAAAATCAGTGAGACAAAGCCAAGATCCATTGCATGAGTGGCACTGCCAGATATGACTGGCATATTTCCAATATTTCATTTGTGTAGACTTTAATCAGTATGTACAATATCTCTTTCCCTAAAGCAAATCCATTGTGTAATCTTTCACATGTAACTCTACGTGTCCTTTTGCCATTCTCTCCAGTGAAGCTGTTTCCTTATGTTTTTTTTAATACAGAAAATAATGACATTTTGGTGCTAATTATACTTCTTTCACATATTTCAAAATTTAATTGTAAAAAGTAAAGCTTCTAATGGTCAGATGACAGTTCTGAAGCTCTAAAAAAATCGTTCAGTTGTATCCATCCCTTGCACCTCTTAGTGAGGTAGGAATAACTCCCTTCTTTTACAAACAGGCAACTCATCCACACAAATTTGTGACCACAGGTATGACACTGAACAATTTATTCATAGTAATACAGGTGTCCTGGCTGCATGGTCCTTCCCATAAACTTAAAAATATATGGCAAGTGAGGACTGAAGGGTCATATTAATTTTATCGATATTTGGGTCAATATTTTGCTCTGAGTCACAACAGCTATACAGTCTAATCTGAACTCTAAAAGATGCACTTTCTCCTTTTTTTTCTTTTAATATTTATTTATTTTATAAAGGGTCTGTTCCAACCATTTTTTTTAAAGGAAGAACAATTTTCCTACAACCAGGCGGCTTTACATATGAAAATGTCAGAATGCTTGTTGGCCCAGGATAGCCAATGAATAAATACAAGATGACACATTTTGCCAGGAACAAGTGATGTACACATAATAAAATTACAAAGTAAACAGCTATCATCAATTGCCTTTCTGATAGTCACAGGGAAAGAGGATTACACTCTATTCTTTACACACAACTCTGTCAAGTAAAAGTGAATAGGAATTATTTTTTCCTCCCCAATTTCCAGGAATTCCAACAGACTGCTTTCAAAACTAAAACCTGGAAAAAATATCGGGTTTGTCCCCTGCATGACAATGTCTTACCTTATAAGGAAGTATTTGACAGCCTTAGATTAAACTCCTGAAAGCTAATGAAGATTCCTCCTTAATACACATTTCTTTTTTCCAGTTCGGACTTGAAGTGACAACATTACAGAAATACCCTGGAGGTTTTTATTTAAATAGCATCCTATAAAACAATGCCCTCTTGTCAGTCAACACTAATTCAGCAGAAGTCAAGCTATAAATCTGTCCAAAGGCCAGCAAAGTGCTTAACTTGGCACATCCCTAATAAAATTAGGAATGTGAGTTTATTACATGAACCTTAAGTAGGTTTGGCCAAGATATTAAGATTTTTGCTTATGGCAACCATGCCTAATGTGGATTGGTATTTTCATTATAACGCACCCCACAGCATTTCTCAGTAATGTCTCAGGTTTCCAAATTGGACAATAATTTTCTACACTATCTGACACATCACTAGGTGTTACAGATGAAACTCTGTCACTAAAGCTGCACACAGTTTAACTGTACTTAAAGATGGCAAAGGCTTTTCAATAATGCTAATTCTACTGCAAAATGAGGGCAAATTAATTAATTAATACTTCTATTAATGTAACGTGCTTTCACTTTGTTCAAGTAAAAAAGCACTTACGGGCTTTTAACCCAAGCTCAGATGCATTGTTTCAGCTCAAAGCAATTGAGAAGTGATTTCTACTGTAATCAGCTGAAACGCACATTAAGAAAAATAGTGAGAATGTAGATTATACAGCCTTTATTTTAGTTGGTTTTAGCCAAATATGCTTCTCAATGATATTGATGCAGAATGCCTCTTTAGAATGGTACCCTATAAAGCAGCCTCATGTTGTAACTTCCCTCTGACCATCTTCCACCAAATTTTTGTGTCACAGAAACATCTTTCCTTTGAGAGAAGAAACATACTCTGAGGTCCAGGAATGGAGATCATATCAATCATGTTCTCAACTGGCTAAAGAAGAACATACAATCTCTGGCTTCTGCAAAAGCAAAGGCTTTTGGTTATTAGTGCCTGGTACCACATGTGGCCCCAAGCCATACACTGCATTGCAGCCACTGCAACAGAAAAGATGCTCCTTAAGGGGCTGCAGTACCAAACACATGAATGTGCAGAGTCACTGAAGTTCACTTCATAAAAAATACAATACACTCTGGGAAGGAAATATGATTGATTTCCCTTGAGCAGACTGTTTATCAGACAAACACACTTTGCAAACTTTGACATAAATTGTTAGTTTTCTTGTCATACTGACAATATAAGAACAGTACCTTTGTAGAAACTTCCTGAAAACTCTTTAATGACCTCTAAACAGTGTTATCTTATCATCATCTGACTTTCTACTTCAATAAATCATTTAAAACGGGCAAAAAGAAAAATTGATACCCAAAATATGGATTTATTCTCCATAGCTATAGTATTTAAGATGTGAGGAGTCTTCTCACGAAATAGTTATGATGCTGATAAAGCACTCAAATCTCTGTATTTGCAGCCATTTTGCAAGAAAAGAAAGAACAACTCCCAACAAAGAGCCTCAGGAGAAATTAAAGGAAGATTTGCAGTTTCCAGGTCCTTGTACGTAAGGGTATGACAACACTGTTCACTTTGAAAGGCAATTGCATATGCAAATCCCTACTTATTGTCCACAATAGAAAGATGCAATATGGTAACATTTTGTGTGTGCAGGCTGCTTGTGAACACATCTAGTGACCTGCACACGGAGGAGGCCAGAGCCAGCACACAGAGAGATGTATCCAGAGCACATTACCAGCAGCCAGGCTATCACACATTGTATCACATTGTATACTTATTTAATACCCTGACAAGAGCTTAATTAATATTTCAAAAATTTTAAAATAAACTAATATTTCAAACAAATAATCTCTTTTTGTGTCTGCATTTGCAATGGTTATTTCAGTTGTTCACAAAATTAATGATTAGGAAAAAAACATGGAAAGGACACTTCCCAGACAAAACAAAACAGTCACTCTAAGAATCAATCTTGCATAGCCAGGGACAAGAAAAATACCACATAATCTATGGGAAAAACAAAATTTGTATATGCACTTCTCAGAATCCGAAAAATCAGTCTTTTCATAGAACCTCTCTAAACCCAAGAATATTTTCTTGGAATTAGTCTCAGTGCAAATTCCAAACAACAAGTATTTTTACAGATGTTGTCAAGTTGGACAATCTGAGAAGATAAAAAACCTGTTAGTTACTTGCGTGAATAATTTAGAGCCCTGTGCATGATCCTATCATCATAAAGGCTATGTCTAACTGTTGATTAGTAGGAAAACACAAAGTACCTGTAAACCAACACAGCTCTACAATTTTCCTATTTTCTTCTGATGTCTGGGAAGAGTACGCTGGTACATTGTAGTGCCAGGATGGCAGTCATCACCTGTAGCACAAACACGCTTGAAAGCACCACAGCAGCTTCTGAACTCAACCAGGCACCCTGGCATCTGCATGACTTCTGTTAATTTTTCCCTGCAAGGTGAAGATGCACTCGGGTGAAAACTGGTGTGATGATAAAGGCACATCCTGTCCTCTATGGAATGATCTGAATGAACTCCCATGTTTGGATACCTCAAAATGGTGCCCAGTGTGGATCTCAGTTCAGACCAGAGCTCCACAGAACAGGTCACATTTCCCTTTCAGGGCTACAATTAAAGCATCTCCATTTTTCTGTGAGAGATTTTTGCACAGCATTGCACCGGATACTAAAAACCTCTCTCGATCCTTCTGATCCCCCTCGATATCTCATTAAATTGACAGACCACAGCCTATTACCATACTTTTGCCAATTGCACAGTGGTTGTGTGATCTAGAGAAGAACTCATCTGACATCACCAACTAAACTAATATTCCCCACCGACCTTCATCCAATTTACAAATCCCTCTCTCTCCAGAGATGAAAGGCCAGAGCATTACTCCATGCTCCCCTCCGCAGTCAGTATCTCACATGTAAAAATAAAGGAGGTAGAGAAACACAACAAATCTTGCCTTAGAACTGAAAAACTCTATCCTCAGGCAGGATAGTTTATTTCAATTTGAGTAATTATATTCAGGTCTGAAGTTTTTATGTCTTACAGCTCTCCTTAATTCCACATCTCCTTACTGCAGACAGTACAGGCATAAAATATTTCATCATGGTCTTTTGTAAAGGTGTTCTGAAAAGCCACTGTTGTGCCGCACAGCAATTCCTACCCAAATTCCCAGCCACATCACAAACTACAGGATTTTGGATGTTGGGACCATAAAACTACACTGACATGACTAACTGAGATGGATTGAAAACTACATATTATAAAGCTAGGGGAAGAAA